CTACACATAATGGTATGGTCCTGGGCAATGTTGCTGAACAAAGAGACGTTGGAGTGCAGGTTCATAGTTTCTTGAAAGTGGAGTCACAGGTAGACAGGATAGTGAAGAAGGCGTTTGGTACGCTTGCCTTTATTGGTCAGTGCACTGAGTATAGGAGTTGGGAGGTCATGTTGCGACTGTACAAGACATTGGTTAGGCCACTTTTGGAATACTGCGTTCAGTTATGGTCTCCCTGCTACAGGAAAGATATCGTTAAACTTGAAAGGGTAAGTTGCCAGGGTTGGAGGGTTTGAGCTATAGGGAGAGGTTGAATAGGCTGGGGCTATTTTCTGTGGAGCGAGGGAGGCTGAGGGGTGATCTTATTGAGGTTTATAAAATCATGAGGGGCATGGATAGGGTGCATAGTCAAAGTCTTTTCCCCAGGGTAGGGGAGTCCAAAACTAGAGGGCGCAGAGAGGGGAAAGATTTAAAAGTGACCTAAAGGAGCAACTGTTTCACACAGAGGGCATGGAATGAGCTGCCAGAGAAAGTGGTGAAGGCTGGTGCAGTTACAACATTTAAACGGCATCTGGATGGATACACGGATAGGAGGGGTTGAGAGGGATATAGGCTAAATGTTGGCAAATAGGACTAGATTAATTTAGGATATCTGGTCAGCATGGACGAGTTGAACCTGTGCTGTACATCTCTGTGACTCTATATTAGTTAGACAACAGGCGGTTAATGGGGATAAGGGAATGAAATTCCTGCAATCTGCACATGATTCCTTTCTAAGATAACAAGGTGTAGAGCTGGATGAACACAGCAGGCCAGGCAGCGTCAGAGGAGCAGGAAAGCCGATGTTTCATTCTTCGTTTTTCTGAAGAAGGGTCTAGGCCCGAAACGTCAGCCTTCCTGCTCCTCTGATGCTGTTTGGCCTGCTGTGTTCATCCAGCTCTATACCTTGTTATCTCAGATTCTACAGCATCGGCAATTCCTACTATCTTGGATGATTCCTTTCTAGATCCATTCTTTAATCACTCATGGGATGTGAGCTTGGCTGGTATTTATTGCCCATCCCTAATTGCCCTTGAAACTGACAGTGAGCCCCCTTCTTGAACTGTGCAGTCCATTTGGTGTTGATCAACCTACAGTGCTGTTTGGGGGGAATAGGGTTTGTAGGAAGCCTAATGAGGCAAGACTTCTATTTAAGATCATAGTAATGGGGAATGTATCAGAACAGATGGGACAAGTAACAGTAGGTGGAGATCTAGGCAACAGTGATCATAATATGATTTAGGATAATAATTGAGAAGGATGCAGCTGTAACAAAAAGAGTGGTAATTGATTGGAAACATCTAAGTTTTGAAGGACCTATAACAGAACTCTAGCAATTAAATGGACAGCAATAATGGCAAAAGGAACAGTAACAGGACGGACTTAAGTTGTGATTTTTCTTAATTTGTTTGTTTGATGTGGGCACTGTTGGTCATTGGCCGACATGTGTAGTAACTTGGGATTATCAACCCCAGATCTGAACGTTTCCCGGTGTGTGTTGCATGCAGACCAGAATGCCTCGTTACCTGAGGAGTTGCGGATGGTACTTCAAAACACTGTGTCGTGCTCAAACCAAGAACAAGCGAAAACTGGTGGGGCTACCTCAGGATGGCTAAAGGAATGAAGGAAAGACGCCTAAATATTCAGGCAGGAAGCAAGAATACAAAGAGATTCCGTATGAACGTACAGTTTAGGAGTGGGACTAAGCTGTTTAGTGTCTCGTCCTGCTCCATCGTTCAATAAGATCATGGCTGATCTAATAATTCCGACTTGTCAACACGCTCCCTAAGCCACTCCAATTGCCATACCAATGCGTCGACTTCCGGTTGTGAGAATTGCTGCAGATGGGCCTTGGAGATCCACACGTGAAATGATGAAAAATTTGGAGGGAATATTGTTGCCTACTCCCCCTCACTAACCTTTGATTCTCTTGTTAGCCAAGATTCAATCTATTTCTGTCTTAAAAGTTTTCCATGAGCCTGCCTTCACTGCTCTGTGGTAGATTGGGGTTTCACAAATACATGATCCTCTAAGAGAAATCAGTTTGTGGATGACAGCAAAATTGTTGGTTTGTGGACAGTGAAGAAGGTTATCTAAGATTTACAAAGAGATCTTGGTCAGGTGGGTCAATGGGCTGAAGAGTGGCAGATGGGGTTTGATTTGGATAAATGTGAGGTATTGCATTTTAGTAATACAAACAAGGGCAGGACATATACAATTAAAAGCAGGGCCCTGGGTAGTGTTGTAGAACAGAGAGACCTTGGGATTCAGATACATAAGTCTTTGAAATTTGCTTCACAGGATAGTTAAGGCATTTAACACGCTTGCCTATTTTGCTCAGACCTTTAAGTATAGGAGTTGGGACATCATGTTGAGGTTGTTTAAGACTTTGGCGAGGCCTCTTTTGGAGTATCGTGTCCAGTTCTGGTCACCCTGATATAGGAAGGACATTATCAAACTGGAGAGGATTCAGCAAAGATTTGCCAGGATGTTGCCAGGACTGGACAGTTTGAGTTATAAAGAGAGGCTGGATAGGCTGGAACCTTTCTCGTTGGAGCATGAGAGGTTGAGGGGTGACCTTACAGAGGTTTATAAAATAATGAGGGGCATAGATAAGGTGAATGGCAGGTGTCTTTTCCCCAGGGTGGGGGATTTCAAGACTAGGGGGCATATTTTTAAGGTGAGAGGAGAAAGATTTAAGAGGACATGAGGGGCAATTTTTTTTCCCCCCACAGAGTGTGGAATGAATTTCCAGAGGAAGTGGTGGATGCAGGTACAGTTACAATGTTGAAAAGACATTTGGATAAGTTCAGGAATAGGAAAGGTTGGGAGGGATATGGGCCAGGAGCAGGCAAGTGGGACTAGTATAGATTGGGATTATGGTCAGCATGGATTGTCTGTTTCCATGCTATATGACTCTAGGGGAAAAAAAAATTTGTAATCTTGAGTTTAAATGGGAGACCGTATTTTGAGGCTGTGTTCCCCAGCTCAAGACTCTCCCATGACGGGAAACATCCTTCCTGTGTGCACCCTGTCAAGTCCCCTCAGGATCTTCTATGTTCCAATAAGATTATCTCTCATCCTTCCAAACAATGGGTGCAGAAGCCTTTAGGAGAGAAGTAAAACAGAACGGACAAATGAGCTATGGAACTAAATTACCAAGAACAAATCAGTAAAATACTGCACAAACATCGGTTTAAACAAAAAGGAAATTGGTGACGGGAGAGGGGTCACTTACTCATGTGGCCGTCCTAGTGAAAGGGCAGACATTTCACTTTTGTAATTACCAAATCAATTTGTCATCACATCAGAGGCTGAGATTAAAACGAAGCATAATTAATTTAAAATAGAGTAGGAAATACAGTGAGTAATCTAACCAAACTTGAGGGAAAATCCCCTTCTCTACACAGACTGCGTGTGTACACTTTTAAAACCTAGTGAAGAAGTTGCACTGTAACAGCTACTCAGCAATTCATAAAGGTGGAGGTGTAGCGCTGGATGATATCATGTCTCGTCTCTATATTTAAGAAGGAAACCAGAATGTGGAATTATAGACCAACCAGCTAGCAGAAGGAAAATAATGGAATTGCTTTGAAATGAGAAAATAGAAAATTATCTCAACAAAAGAAAATGTAAGAATGAACGGTCAACGTAGATTTCGAAAGAGAAAATCTGACTCGACCAAACTGGTTGAATTTTTTTTGAAGAGGTGAAAATAGACTAAGGTAATGCAGTCAATGTATTATATCTAAATTTCTACAAAGCCCTTTTTGTTAAAAATGTGTGGCACAATAAAATAATCACTGGAGTTGGAGTATGTGGAATCGGGACAGGTTTTGAGTGGGCTTGCAAGCAGAGAGTACAGATAAAGGGCGACTCTTCAGAAAAGCAACATATTACAAGAAGGTGTTAATGAACTTTGCAGCATGGAGAAATGATTGATAAATGCATTTCATTGTTGACAAGAGTGAGGTTGTTACATTTTGAAAAATAATACAGTCATACGCGGCTTTGAAAATAAAAGCCTAAATGGGACAGAGGAGCAAAGAGATTTTGTCGGGCAAATAAACAATTTGCTAGAATTCAGAATCTAGATTCACTTAATCACAAGTGAACCAGTCACTGCGGTTGGTATCTGTAGGATCGGAATTGAAAAGTGGGCATGTTGTTCTGAATATATGTTGCATTGACCACGTTGAGCTCATAATGTGTAGTTCTGACAGCCTATTATACAGATTTAGATTTAGACTCTATTGTCACGTGCACTCAAGTACAGGAGTGAAAAGTTTTTAATGTCGCCACCCATGTAAGGAGCAGCATAACTAGTGACCATTAATAAGAGTTAGGAATTCAGAAGAAAGCTTTTGAATCGAATGTAAATGTGGCACGTGTTATTGTGGGGTTGGTTGGAGCATTCGACCATCTGAAGGGAAGGGAAGGGAGAGTTTGAGCTTTTCTTTGAAAGAAGAAAATGATCTGAGTCAGGCCAAATTGCATCCTGTATGGTTCTATTTCTGTAACTTTTTTTTAATGAATCCTAACTGACTGCCTGCTATCCTTCCCTGGTGTAAGGGGTAGAAGGCCCTCTGTACAGCTAACCTGGGCTACCTCACATATCCAGGCTGGGATGGCCGGCTACAGAGCCCATGCAGCTGCTGGCCCAGTGGAGCTCCCTGAGGTCTCTCTAACTCGCGGGACAATACCCTCCACCTCTCAATCAGACGGCTGTGGGTTCAAGCCCCGCTCCAGACACTTGAGCATCCATATGGTGCGCCTGTTGAAGTGCTGAGGAAGTTGGAGCAAGGCCCTTCCTGTTCTTGTCATCGCGACAAGGAATCTCCATTGTTACTTTTGTGGTCCGGGTTTGTTCTTGCTTCCTTCTGAACGTGCGTTTTCCGCTTTCAGGTTGAGCGAACCTCAGGGACGTGGCCCCTCCCCCCCCCCCCCCACCCCCCAACCACCACCGGCGAGAGCTAGGAAAACCATGGAGACGATGGCGGAGAACGTCGGCGGCGGCTACAATTGGCAAAAACGCTGCATGACGCTGGAGTCCCAGCTCCTCCGGTTCAGGCTGCAGGCTGGCAAGATCCGGGAGCTGTTAGCCGAAAAGGTGAGCAGGAGGAGGCGTGCGGTGCTGATTGGGAGTGGGCTGGGGTTCCCAACCAGAACAGTCCGCTTCACCGAGGCTGCTCCCCACCACAGTGTGAGGCGTATGCTCAAAATCCTTTTAAGAACCGCAAAGCCGGCTAAGTCTGTGAATGCACCGACTTCCCTGCTGTGCTACTGGATCGTAGAACAACGCAGCACAGGAGGAGGCCATTTGGCCCATTGTGTCTGTGGCTAGCCCAATTGAGGAGGCAGCAATTTAATCCCATTCTCTTTGCCCTCTGTACAAAGTTATAATTATGCTCCACTTGAGCATCGATCCAGTTCTGTTTTGGCCCATCCAGTGTAATGTGAATGACACGATGTGTCAGCTGTCACATGCCACAGAGAACAGAGGATGGGGAGGACGTAAACTTTGAGCTGAGTGTAATACGTAATAGTGTGTAAATGAACAAGTTGAACCTTGGCACTGGGCAGTGCTCCCTCTGAATGATTCTATGGTGAGCAGCCTTTCTGTAGTACAGGGTCAAACCCTGGAGTCTTGACCTGCAGGATAGCCTTACCCAGGAGGACCAGCAGCCCATGGGGTCCATCACAGAGTCCATGCCAACTCCCAACATTGCAGGCAGCACATCAAACCGGATGGTCATATTGATCCTGGCCCAGTGTGGGGTTTTCAGAAAGTACATTCTAGAACACAACAGCGCATTGTGCAAAAGGGACACCTCTTTACACAAATCTCTGTGTCCTTTATCAGTCTCTTTGTATTTGTGTCCTCTGGTTGCCAGTCTTTAGGCCAATGACACCAGATTCTCCGTATTTACTCAAACTGCTCATACTTCAACCATTCATGGCAACTTGTCAGCAAAACCTCCTGTCTTTTCTTTTATCTAAAATTACTCCCACCCCTTCTGTTTGTACTACACTTGCTTTTTTACTCGTGATTAAGCTCTGTCAGCAACATCACTCCTGTGCTGAAGTTAGGGATGAGCTTCCAATGCAACCCACGCGTTTGCAAAAAAATATCTTTTTCTGTTTGGTTGTGGGGACAGGGCATTGTGTCAGTGCTCATACCCCCGGCCTATACCTGTCTTAGACCCGCTGTGTGCCCCAGATCGAACCTGCTGGAGTTGGCAAACTCCCGCTCTGTAACAACGACAGAAATTGCCGGCGCAACTCAGCAGACCAGGCAGCATCTGTGGGGAGAAAAGCAGGGTCAACGTTTTGAGTCCAGTGACTTGTCATGCGTTAGCAGCGACGATAAAGTGGTATGGGGGGAGGTGGTGGAGACGGATGCCAGAGAGAGAGAGACAGACAGACAGACAGACAGACAGACATGGAAAGGCCTGGGTAAACCAGGAGATGACGGATAGACCAGAAGATAGGTTTTTAAATAAGTGATAACAAGAGCTAGAATTGTACAATCCCTTAAATGTGGAGGCAGGTCATTCAGCCCATTGATTCCACACTAACCCATTTTATAACAGGACCAGGTGTGGCGTGAGTTAAAAAACATGGAAGGATTGAGTCAGGTTCTGAAGTTATTGAACTCAATGCTGAGTGCTAGAGGCTGTAATGAGAATGACCACTAGGTCAGGTATTTTCGGAATTTCCATTGCACTAAGCCTGATTCCCACCGATTTAAGGCAACTGGGGTATTTGAGTCTGAATGGTATGACTCAGCCCTGGTATAACTGGTACAGAATCACAGAAGGCAGAGACTTCCTTCACCCAGGCTGGGGGTGTCCCCTGGGGTAAACCTACCTTGGTGACGTTGGCCTGTTGATGATACGGGATGGTCAGGTATGCAGTTGGCTCTCTGTTCGCTGCATTAGCCTCCTGGAAGTCCGTGCGGAGCCATTGTGGAACCGTTCAGCTCAGGAACATGGGCACCTCTCTACACCATGTGGTCACTCTCCTGCTAAAGGGAGCCCAGGCTTTTCCTCAGCCTAGCCGATAGGGATGCTAATCCGGAGACCCAGCTAATGGTCTGTGCGTTTTCTGCCGGATGGAAGAGATGATCGCCGGGGTGGGAGGGGACTTCCTGAGGTGGCAAGAAGTACAGATGGAGAAAATGGATGGAGGGGTTGGCTTGCTGGGCTGTGTCGACAATCCTCTGCAGTAATGGGTTATCCTGCCAAAAGACCTGGCTGACAGGTTAGATGTCACAGTGACTGACCACGTTATACTTTAACTATTGTCTTGTTAAAAGTTGTATACGTCAGAGGTCAAACAGCATCTAGTCGTGTACGTACAGAGTAGCTTTTCGTTCCAAATCTCTTGGCATCCATTTTACTTCATACTTCTGCGTATAAAGATGTAGAGTATTCTAGAAAACATTCAGCCATGCTGGTCTCGCCTCTCAGTCAGGTGGTCACAGGTTCACGTCCCACTTCAAAGAAGGTTTTTTTTTTAAAATAAAAGTATCCCCGTCAGGAGGTGGCCATGACTGGCACAGTTATTTATAGCCTACCCTTGCAAACGTGGTGAGTTGTCCCCTCTACTAGCACCTTCTTTAAACCACCCCCCCCCACCAAAGTAAAAATGAAGAGCTGGAAATCTGAAACACAGACAGAGAGGGCTGGAGAAACTCGCCGGCTCTGGCAGCATCTGTGGAGAGAGAAATGGCGTTCACATTTCAATTCTAGTGACCCTTCCAAACCCATGACTACTTCCATCTAGAAGGGTAAGAGTAGCAGATACATGGGTACACTGCAAGCTCCCCTCCGAGCCATTCACCACCCTGAGTTGGAAACATATCACTGTTCCCTCACTGTAGCTGGATCAAAATCCTGGAATTCTCTCCCTAATGGCATTTGTGGGACAACCCACAGCAGGTGGACTGCAGCGGTTCAAGAAGGCAGCTCACCACCACGTTCTCAAGGGGCAACTAGGGACGGGGCAATAAATGCTGGCCCGGCTAGTGACACCCATGTCCCACGAGCAGCTGAAAGCGTTTTGGCGATGGCTATTAGCCATCTCCAGCTTTTAGATCCAGTGACAGTGAATGGGCAGTGATGCATGTTTAGCTGGAGACGGTGTTCCATATATATGTATATAATATGTGTCTGCTAGCCTGGCCCTTGTAGCTGTGGAGATTGGAGGTTCGGGACGTGCTGTTAAAGAGACTTTGATGTATTGTATATGTGGTGTGTACAGTCGCTGTGTACCAGTGGTGGAGGGGCTCCTCAAAGCCAGGACAAAATTATTGAGTACACCATGTGTTTGAACAGTGCATTTCTGAGGGAATATTGCCAGGTTAAGGAAAACTCCCTTTCAGTAAGGCATTAAACTGAGGTCCCCTTCAAAGGATCGCTTCTAAAGAAGTGCAGGTAGTGAAGTGGGGGGCTCCCGCTAGTGACGAGGCTAGTATCGATCGATCGACCCATCCATCCATCCATCTAAACATTCCTCTTGTCGGTCTTTATTTCTGTTTCTGTTGCGGACGCATCAGCTGTCTGAGCTCCCCAGCGATTTGGCAGCGTCGCTGAAGGAAGAGCTGGCAGCTGTGAACCTCGTTGTGGCCCGAATGGGCCTGTCGCTGGTTAAGAACATGCCCAGGGTGGGAGTGCGTGTCTGTGCCTGGCGTCATGTTTCTGTTGGGCTGATCTTCAGAAGGATCCGAGCGCTCGGTGCCAGCAGACTCTGAAATCCCTTTCCCTTCCAACGTTCAGCCTCCAACCACTGGGTCTTTAATTGATGCCAGACTCTCTAGCGGTTTTGTTCTATAATTAGAAACTCTGGCGAAGCTACAAAGGGAGGTGTCAGGATGGAAATGCAACCAGCAATTACCCGAAATTGCCAACTTGTTATGTTCCGTGGTTTCAGGGGGATGCGTTCCCCACTTACCCCTCCCTCCCCCACCCTGCCACTCCAGGACTGAGCTGTCTCCACCACTGAACTTTTTTTGATCGCTGCCTTTAGTTGTCTCTTCTGAAGATTTTGATCTGCTCATTGAATGGTGGTGCTGGGGGCACGACGAAAGATTTATTCCCCCCACCCGTGCCAGTTCCATTACCCGGCTCGCTCGTTTTCGAAACGAATTGCGATTTGAATCTAGGGGTGCAGGAGACTTGGAGGCTTTCCGAGTGCAGTTGTCTCAGCAAATCCAAACACCAAGGTCTGCGTGCGTTAGTGGGAGCCAACAAGATTCCCCCGCTCCCTGACTCTCAACAGAATGTATTATCTCAGTCGGCTGAGACTACAAGGTTCAACCCCTTCTGTTACTAACATACACTGACAGAGTCATGGAGAAACAGAACCCTTCGGTCCAACTTGTCCTAAATTAATCTACTCGCATTTGGCCCATTTCCCTCTAAACCCTTCCTATTTATATATCATCCATTTGTCCTTTTTAAATGTTGTAATTGTACCAGCCTCCACCACTTCCTCTCTCAGCTCGTTCCATACACGCACCACCCTCTGTGTGAAAATGTTTCCCACTCACCTGTGCCCTCTATTTTTGGACTCCCCTACCCTGGGGAAAAGACCTTCGCTATTCACCCTATCCATGCCTCTCATGATTTTATAAACCTCTAAAAGGTCACCCCTCAGCCTCCGACTCTCCAGGGAAAATAGCCCCAGCCTATTCAGCCTCTCCTTGTAGCTCAAAACTTCCAACCCTGGCAACATCCTTGTAAATCTTTTCTGAACCCTTTCAAGTTTAACAACATCCTTCCTATAGCAGGGAGACCAGAACTGAACGCAGTATTCCAAAAGTGGCCTAACCAATGTCCTGTACAGCCGCAACATGACCTCCCAACTCCTATACTCAGTGCACTGACCAATAAAAGCAAGCGTACCAGACTCCATCTTCACCGCTCTGTCTCCCTGCCACTTCACTTTCAAAGAATTATGACCCTGCATGCCAAGGTCTCTTTGTTCAGCAATATTGCCCTGGATCTTACCACTAAGTGTACAAGTCCTGTTCTGATTTGCCTTTCCAAAATGTAGCACCTCACAAACCGGGAGAGCTGGAGAAACCCAGCAAGTCTGGCAGCCTCTGCGCAGAGAGAAACAG